ATTTCCAAGAGAAAAGACGGCCTTGCTCGCCAAGTAAATGTTGCATGACATCGACTTCTACATAGATGAATTATTGAGTTCATAGAATTGGTTTAGTAATCCAATTACACCTTCATGTCGTGGTCGATCAGGTTCATTGGATTCAGATAGATGTGCAACACCTCCATATTTTGTTCCGGGTAAGAAGAATGAACCACTCAGATCGCTCGCATAATGTTCTTCTTGACTTGAATCCGGTGAACTTTGGACATCTGAAGTAGACTGATCACTAACACGATAACTATTTCGTGACGTATTGTTATGTACATATGATGACGGCCTATCATCTATTGTGGAATTTATTCCAGCTCCAGTGGCAGTATTACCTGCATAATTAGAGTTAGGAGCATATCCGAAATGAACATTATTGCTGCTACGTCGATTATTCTTTAGTATTGAATCTATATGTGCAGAACGAATTGAATTATGACGTTCATGACGTTCATGACGTTCTGGATGTACTTGATTGCTGAAATTAAGTCGACTAAGGTAAAGCGATCCGGCCGGATCGGTAGGTTCCCAATCGGGATGATTAGCCTTACAGAATAAATGAATTAAAATGTGATTAGTTTTTTTCTTTAATAATTATAAACTGTAGAAACTATCCAAGTTATATGCTGACCTTAAAATTCAAAAAACTTTTTTCCATTTTACCATCTTTCGAAAGGTAATATTCGTTCTCGACTTCTGCCGGAGCACCATACTTCAAAATTGAAAGTTGTCTATAAAATCAGATTACTTATAAATGACTTTCAAATTATATGATTATAGTTACCTTCACATTACCATGTCTCTTGAAATCAAATACTGCAAAGCTACAAACATATCCAAGACCATCTACATGCACAGTGAATTCTCTAAAAAAATCAATAATTTGCTGTACAATAAAGCATAAATATGGTTAAGGAAATCTTATGGAAACCGTATTTTAATAGCAATTTATACTAATAATTAAATTCTTAAAAAAAGGATATGACTACAATCCGGAAGGGAAAACCAAAGGACAAATGGTGTGAAAATAACACTAAGTATTTCCTGAATAAAAAGCACAATCTTGACTTGAAACAACTGAATAAATTCTCTGCGGACCTAAATCAAATTTATATTGTTCGTGACGTAAATACAAAGTTTAGCATTTTGATAAATAAAACATGGATAAAATTTCATACATCGTCGGTATCTAGTTTTCCTTTCCAATTGTCGGGAGAATAATGTGTATGCTCTACAACTTTCTTTAACCTGACTGTTGGATCAAAAACAACATGATCTTCCACACTCATTCCACGACTAATAGCCACAATCGGAACCAATATTCCGAGATAAAAAAAAACGGTACGGCCGGGAGAAATTTCAAATCCCAAAAAAACCTCGGAATCAATAATACTGGCAAGAAGTAACACGGCAGTGAGTGAACTAGCTATAAAAGATATAAATCTTTATTTTTTTGAAAAAGAAATATATATATAAATAATTCGATTAGGTCATTTGTAGACAAATTTGATGAAGTCGATGTCATGCAACATTTACTTGGCGAGCAAGGCCGTCTTTTCTCTTGGAAATTGGTCGATATATTTGTTTGCCTGCTTGTAGCTCTTATTCAATCTCTGATCAAATAAATGGGGTAATTCGTTAAATTCCCGAAATTTCCAACGTGCGAAAGGAGACCATTGACGCAAACCAATGTTCTTAGGGTTGTTACGGTATTCCTAAAAAAAAGACAGTGTTATAAAAATATATATATGTGTGTTTAAAGTAAGGTTTGAAATTTGAAGCGTACCTCAAAATAACGGAAAAAGAAATATATGAGCAGATAAACCACTATAAAAGGAGCGAATATGATATTAAGAATTCCCATGAAGATGAAGCGACGACGCAGACTGCATTAATATAACGAACACGTATAAAAGAAGAATTTATGAATTGACCCATTATCAAGAATGATTAAGGTGAAAAAAATCTACATTATTATGACATACCCTTGAGTCAATCTCTCCCTTTGTACACCTCTGGTGTCTTTAACAAAATGCCTTCTGACCTGTCCTTGATCATTGAACACATGATTTATGATACAATATCGTAAATTCCACTCAAGGGTTTTTGTCAGAAAGTTTTTTTGTCTAAAAAAGGGGATTGGTATAGTAAGATCCAGCATATCCTTATTAAAGAGGGCGATGAGATAATTCTCCTGACGCATAATTCTATTAGTTATATTGTGTGCATCCAGACGTTGTTGGGGTTTGTTGTTAGGTCCCTGATGGGAAGTAGTAGGGTTATTTTCTCTGAGCTCGATTATGCGGTTAACAACTTTTTGCCATGGTATAGTTTGTATATCGACCTAATATGTAAACAATTTAGATATCATACTAATAAATGTATTCATAATGGCATATAACGATCAAATCAACATACATCAGGAATATTCAAAAGGTAGGTATAAAAATTAAACATGTCTGTCAGACGACGAATATCCAAGACAAGTCTCACAGCTTGCCACACCCAAGCAATAGAAAACAATGTAATAAATAACATTGACCATCCTGATAATCTTTGTTCATGAAAATAACAAAAAGTTAGATGACCCGTCGTTGGAATAATTTAATCGTGATAACAGATAAACGCGTACCGACTAAGACAATGAGGTATTATAACATTGGATAAGGTGTTATTATGCTTTATTAGAGAGTAATCAACGCATTCCAGCAAGAAAGTGCTAAAACTAATGATAAACCCGAGCGTCCTAAGTCAAACAAATTAAAGTAGGTCAAATAATGAGAAATTGGCAAAGCAAACATATTAAACAATACAAAATGAAGCTGAATTAAGTGAATGTTAATGTCTTACAGTAAATTCAGCAATCTACTCAACAAAATGCAGTAAAAGCCCTTTCCAACATAATACGCATAAACCTTAAAACATAAAAAGGTTTTGAGATCAGCAGTAAAAATAAAAAATTAAAAAGTATCAAAAAAAAATATCAAAAAAAAACCTGCTCAAAAAACAAGTCTAAGTTTTCAACGTTGACCCATTTCCACATTGTTAATTCTCGTAAGTTCATTCCTGGTCTTGGGCTTGGGTGAGTCTTTTTGCTGCGCTGCTGAGGCATCTCTACTATCAATGAAGCGGGTGCCTCATTACTATCCTGATCAGAGTCTTCTTCAATTTCATCGTCCTCAGGCAAATGCTGATAACGTTGTTGCCTGTTTGTAGTAAAATTTTGGAATGTTGAAGGTGTAGTCCGTGACGAAGTACTCGGTGTTGGACGCAGAACTAAGCTTTCTGAAAATTCTTCTTCGGGATCTTCGTTATCGTCTCGAAAGGCTACGTACGGAACGTCATTCGCCTGAAAACGACCAAAAATTGATTGATCCGTCATCTTTATTGAGGGAATGTAGAAAAGTCGGGTAGACAATATAACTAATATATAACTTTTCAAGTACCAGTATTTACCGAAACTATATAGAAATATCGGTTATGTTGATCTTATACGTAATGTATTTCAATTAGGAAATTTACAAATTTGTGATTTCTAAAAACATTTGAATAAGTAACACTTTAGAATCATCAGATATCAACCATGTTTCCTACTCCTACGGCTTTAAGTATTGGTATCCGGCGGTCAAGATTGCAAATTGAAGTGATCAAATTTTATCGTGAATGTTGTAAAGCTGTAAAAAGAAAACCACCGGTAAGTTAATATTACGTATTAATTCGTAAATTCACGCCATTTAATCCAGCCTTATTTTCGTATAAAATTTTAAAAGGAAACACAAAACAGGTTTCAACAATTTCTAAGAACTCAGTTTCGACAACCAAAATTCAGCAGATCGATCAAAATTTAGGGTCGGGAATATTCCGAAATTGATAAATTTCCCCAAAGTTTTACTAATGAAATGGTAGACCACGTACAGTCGAACCTCTATAATTGCACCCCCTCGGGACCATGAGACAATTTTTTAAAAATGTTCATTTAGAGAGGGTGTGCATTTATAGAGGGTATTTTTACTATGTTTTTATATACTTGGGACCATGCCAGGGCATCCATTTAGGGAGAATGCCGGCCTAGCTCCGGACCTATTCTGACCCTAAATTTGGTCGATCTGCTGAATTTTGGTTGCTCCACTAATCTATCCTTCTCGGTTCTCTAAACGCACGGACCTTTTTCCGGGTCAAAAAAAAAAAGCTAGACAATTATGTGTCACATAGAAGTTATGAGAACATTTTACCATCACGTGACACATATAATAACTGTCTTTTTACTATATATTAAACTTATTAAACTGTGCAATTACCGTTTAACA